AGGTGCACATCTGGATATTGTCCATAGATTGTTTAGGAGGGCAGCAAGAGCTCCTAGGCTGAGAAAAAGACTCTAAAACACAAGCACGCACAATTGAAACTTGTCAGGGAAGGGCATGGCACTCACAAGACACAGAGGTTTATTATCATCAAAGGCACAAGATCACAGGTTCTCTGCCTACCCCTTTCGCGGTGAACCCTTCCACCAGTCACCTACTTATAAAGATGTGGGTGAATCTAACAAGAGACACAATTTGGTGTAGTAGTTAAGGCATCAGGCTCAAAAACAGGAAACTCTGAGTTCTAGGACCATCTTAGGCACAAAGCCAGATGGGTGTCCTTGGGCCAGCCGTTCTCTCTCAGCCTTAGGAAGCCAACAATGGCAAGCCACTTTTGAAATCTTGCCAAGAAAACTGCAGGGAACTGTCCAGGCGGGCACCAAGTGTGCGTGTATGTGTGTATGTCTACACACACACACACAGAGAGGCACACACACACACACACTGGTAAATAACTAACCCTTCAGGAAAACATCCATTTATCCATGCATTTCTTGAAGGTTAAGTTTCTCCGAGGCTCACTTTCAGATTTTTTTTAGGATAGTGTGGGTAAGATGGTTAACAGTGTCTTTCAGACATTGCTTCTCTCCATCAGGGGGCAGTGGAGCCTCATGGGAACGCCAGGTTGGGCAATTTCAGTTTTTCGGTCTTTGAGGTCTTGTCATGCACTATATAAACAAGTTACGTTGGAGTGTTTAGGTTATAAATTACGTCCATGCAGGCTTGCCTGGAGAAGAATGTAAACACTGCACTGTGGTCCAGGCGTCCTCTGAAACTGACTTTATAATGTACAGCAGGCCTCCTCCGAGAAGCCTATGAAGTGTTGTGCTTGAACGTAAATAGGGAGAAATTTAAAAAAAAAAATGCACAAATTCTCTCCCTGTTTTATTGTTTGGAAATGCAAGATTGGGAGTACTCCTATTAAATAGTAAGCTCCTGGGTGGTGAGGATTTTTTTTTTCTTGTTAGGGCAAATTGCTCCATTTTATTAAACATAAGAGAAAACTGGATGAAATGAAAAGATGGGGGGGGGGAATTTGGAGAGTGCAGGGCAGGAGATTTGCCCCAATTCAAGCCCAAACCACTTTTATTCAACAATTTTGGACTTGAACACCCACATCTGTAGAATCCACTGATGGCTTTTCTTTCTGTTGCAAATCAAGATGTCTCCTTTTAAAAAGCTAATCAATTAAGCAGCAATTCCAACCAAGCAACAGAATTTAATCTTTTAGCTTCATGAAAAAGGTTTGGGCTGAAATTCACATCTAGCCTCAGCCATGCCACTGACCAAGTGGGCTTTGTGGATTTAATTTAAAAAAAAAAACAAAAAACGCCCTACCCAAGGTCTAAGTTTTATTCCCAGGCCTGCTAGGGAGGATTGTTAAATTTTACTGAGAGTGTAAGATACAAGGGAATGAAGAGACCAACTTAAATGATTTCCAGCCAGATTGATCTCAGTTGTGTCCCCAAACACCTTAGGGTTTGGTGAGACCCTCACATCCCTTTCCTTTCTTCTGTGAAAATACCCTGTATTTGAAATTGAAGAGAAGCTCACGCTATCCAGAAAGCAGTTGGACTTACTTCTAGATCCAGGTTGTTACATCAGATCTTGATGGGGCTGGGAGATCAGGCCAGTGTGATCCAAGCTAGTCCTGATGCCCTCCATCAGATGTATGGAGTTGAAGGCTCAGATTTCCCAGCAGTGGCAATCCTGGCTGAGGATTCTGAGAGTTGAAGTACATGCATCAGGACATCCAATTGAAGAATGTACGCCGGCCAGGAGGAAGTCAATGTTGTTGATTCCAACCAGGCAGGCCACTTCAGTTTTAGTAATAAATCCTATGGTTTTCAACACAGTTCAGTTCCAGAGTGGTAGCACCCAATATATTTGTCCTGGTTGACCCACACCATCTACATTCAGTATGGAGGGATTTAAGGCTCAGCCCTGCCTGTTATCTGCTTTCTAAATCGCTATTTAGATGAATGGACTGAATAAGGGATGCAGTAGTGGCAAATATCTGAATAAAGGATATAAGGAATGGTCATCCTGTCTGCCTCAAGCTTTCACCAAACTGAAATCTACAAGGTAGTGCCACTCCCCCCCTCTTTCTGCTCCTATGTAAAGAGAACATTGAGTGTCTTTATTTCAATATAGGCAGGCTCAGGTTGTCCCTGGGGGTAGTCAAAAAAGTCAAGATGGTGGCACGCATAAAAAGCTGAAGGAGCTTTGAGGGCACCCTCGGGATCACTATTTTGAATTTTTTAAAACTGCACTCAGAGGATTAGCCTGATGAGGCTAATTCCTAATTATTCCCAATGGACTTGTAAATCTGACACTGCAAATCTGGTGCCCCTGGAACTCATGGGCTGCAATCCTCATTGTCTCGATTAAAGGAAATAGTAGCCCAGCGTATCTAGAGAGTGCCAGGTTGGCAAAAAACGAATGTAGATAAATGCTGTAAATTGGACAAGGAGCTTGATTGGATTTCCGGAACTGCTTTTCTTCCAAATGCATCTCTTTGACTAACAAGTGAACTGAAAGTGTTCCGGGCAGAATGGAACAAGCCTGTTTGGAGCTGAGTGGATTTCTAATCAAGATAAGGTGTGCACGTCTCTCTTAGCTTTCCACTACTTTAAGGCTTTTCCAGCTGTTTTGGATTACCATTCCCATCATCCATGGCCAGAACGTGTGAGGGTTCTGGTGATGGCAGTTCTGGTCCAATTCTCTTGAAGGGTGCCTGGTTGGGAAGGTTACTCTGTCTCTCCCAGAGAGGTTTTGAAACACCCCCCCCAAAGAAATCTTTTCCCTAGGAACAGACTACCATAGTCTTAGGCAGCTTGATGTCCCTCCAAAGATGCTGGGGTCACATCCCCATCATCCCCAGCTAATCTAGAGGTGACGCCTTTGATATTTGCAAGCCACGGTTTGCTCAGTTCTAAACACATATTGTGAATTTCAGGGGGAAAGTTATCTCCATCTTGGAAGAAGTAATCCGTGCTCTGGTGCCCTGAGTAAACTAAAAAGGGAATCCGAGTTATTTGTCCTGGTCGCAGATCCCAGCTTGCTGCTGGAAAGAGAAGAGGTGGTCTCTGTGACTGGAAGAAAGTCTTGTTGGGTTGAAACGTTCAAGCTGAGTCTTACCAGTCATTTTCCCGCCTTTCACCCAAAGTGAAGCGGGCAAAGGCAAAATTTGCGCAAAGCCGGGCTCTCTCCCTTGAACAGGGAGGAAGGCAACACGATTCTTCCATAATTTCTCCCGTTTTCTTTCAAGGATTAAACGTGGGCTCTTCCTGATAGTAAAGGGAGAAAGGTTATGCCAAGGGAAATGAAACTAAGATTGTGGTCACATACATTTTATTGGGGGGGGGAATGCCCATCCCAAGAACTTTGTACATCACAACTTCCGACAAACCAACAAAGGTTATTACATAAGTGCAAATTATATTCTCTGGTTGAAAAGCAATAGTTGTGCGAGTATACACGAAATTTATTTCATTTTTTTTTCTCAAAAAAACAAAACAAAACAAAACTACAGCAAACTGTGATATAAACGCTTAAGGGGGGGGGAGTAGAAATAAAATAAGCCCCAGTGGTAACATTGTCGTGTCAGTGTCTAAAAAAAAAACCAGACGAGTTAAACCAGAAATTTGGAAAAAAATTGGAGATGCTGGTGGGCAGTTTACTTGCCTCTCACCCGGCCCTGAAAATCAGTGTTGCTTAAATCGTGCCAAAGGACTCCCTGGAATAATAAGGCAATTTCATACAAATTGAAAAAGAAAGAAGCCCTGAGGTTGGGAACGACCAAAGGTTTCCAGCACAAAAAATAATAATAAAAAATAATAAATTCCTTTTGATTTTGTTACACTCCCCATCCCACAACTGGCTACCGTGACAGTAAAAAAAAAAAAAAAGGGGGGGGGGCTGGCCTCTCTTCTTGACATCTTCACACAGAGGAAGGAGCTGAAACTCAAATACTTTGACCACCTAATGAGAAGGAAGGACTCACTGGAGAAGAGCCTAATGCTGGGAAAGATTGAGGGCAATAGAAGAAGGGGACGACAGAGAATGAGGTGGCTGGATGGAGTCGCTGAAGCAATAGGCGTGAGCTTAAATGGACTCCACAAGATGGTAGAAGACAGGAAGGCCTGGAGGAACGTTATCCGTGGGATCGCGATGGGTCGAACGCGACTTCGCAACTAACAACAACAAAAGCACCAGAGCAGGGTGCTGTCCCAGGAGTTTTTTAGAGCGCCAGCCAGCTAGCCAGCGTTGCGTTGCGCCCAATAAATTGTACTATAATGAGGACTATTTACATCGCCTCTGGGATGGCCTGACTAGGCTCTCAGTCGCCGGTGGCCGCCGCCGCTAGAAGGCTTTCGGTTCTTATTTGTCTTTCTCTAAATGTGCCTGCCTTTCTCTAAACGAGGTTATCCGATAAACGACCTCGAGGTCCGTGCGACGCTAAATGAAATGGGAACGCAAGGGGCTTGGTTTAGATTGCAGGCGAAGTCGAGCACTAGCGGCTGAGCTCGTTTGGGTTACACGTGGAGCCATTTGGGCTTTAAACGTCTTTTATATATATATATATATAAAATTAAAATAAAATAAAATAAAGGGTTGTGTCGCGAAAAGGGAGGGGGACCTCCAACCGACGCGGCTGCCGCTTGTTTAAAAAACGTTCAGGTTTGGTTGCCCCAACTTACTTCCCCCTTGGAACCGTTCCCACGAAATTAAACGGGCTTCCATCTTAAACGCCTATCGATTTCGGGAGGTTTGTGTCCAGTCCGAATCCAACCTTTTTTTTTTTTTTCTTAATGTGGCTTTTAAATAAAACACCTAGCTCAGGGGTAGGCAAGCTTGGCTCTTTTATGACTCGTGGACTTCAACTCCCAGAATTCCTGAGCCAGCCATGCTGAGGGGAAAGGGAGAGGTTTCCAAGCTGAGCCATGCCGGCTCAGGAATTCTGGGAGTTGAAGTCCACGAGTCATAAAAGAGCCAAGGTTGCCTACCCGATTTCCTACCTATAAAATTAAACGAAACCAAAAAAAAAAAAAAAAAAACCCACGATGCGCTTCGTCTTTTGAAAAGGCGGGCTTGCAAAAGAACAGGGCAGCCTTGTTATGCGGCCGCGGGAATCAGCGCACCAGCCGTCCTCCTTCATCCCCGGAGTCCTCTCGGGAGGACTGACCTACAGCTCCCATCATCTTATCAAATAAAGACGATGGGAATCGTGACCTAATTTCTCCGGAAGACCTGGGGCGGAAGAAAGCTGCGCGGCCCCAAAGAAGGCTCAGGGAGTCCGCGCAGCCCGATCCTAAACAGGCATTTCCTTCCTTGGGATAGAGAGAGGGGGGGGCACCTCGGAGCTCCTTCGGGCTGGGGGGGGGTGTCTACTGACAGCAGCCTCAACATTCGGCGCCCATCATCCCCCCTCCAGCTGACAGCGAGGAGGAGGAAGCCAGAAGGGAACGATAGCCCGCCCTCCTGTGCAATGCAATTGTCAACGTGTCCAAGATAAGGCAGCGATCCTGTATGGGGTTGGTCCCTCCCTGGGAGAGGGCACAGAGGGGTCCTCCGAGGGGATCCCCACCCCTCCCTCTTTGCTCTTCTGCAAGGCATCAGTCCGCGGATGAGAGCGAGGCTTCACATGAAAGGGCCAGGCAAAGATCAGGCAAACGGGCCCGGCTGGAACGAAGCTCTGGTTTCGACTGCGGGAGGATCGCGCTGCGCGAGGTCCGCAAGAGAGAAAGGCTTGTCTCTGCGCTGGCTTCCAGGGAGCGGCGCGCGCCTTCCTCGCGTTAGGGAGCCGGGGCCGTGGGGTTAATTCCGCGTCCTTCCCGGGCCCCTGCTGGATCTTGGAGCGCCTCTGCAGCCTCTCACCGTCCTTCACGTGAGGCCGGGCTGCCGGCTCCTTCCGCTCCGCCTAAGGAGTCCGCGTTTACATCACACAGGGCTTGATGTCTTGGCAGACGGTCTGGTGGTGGTGGTGGTGGTGATGGTGGTAGTAAGAGCTGCTGGCTGAGGGGTGGAAGGACGAGATGCCGTTGAAGTTGAGGACGAAATCCTTCCGGTCGCACACTGGGCTGGGGTGGTGCTGGTACCGAGGCAGGCCCACTGCGGAGAGAGAAAGAAAAGGCGAGTCCAAGGAAAAGTTCGGGAAGGGGGGAAACAGGGAGATGGGGACAGCTGTCCTGGTGTAAAGTGGAGAGATGGGAATGTATAGGTAAAGGACAGGAGACTCACCCCCCCCCCCACTTCCAGGTCTTCCAGGTTTTGGAGAAGGATCCCGGGAGTCTGAGGGCCACTCACTGCTCTATGTTGGTCATGTCCCCTCAAAACGTCCAAAACCCACATTCAGAACCGGATTAACTCTGAACCAAACCTTTGCCACTACCTCTTTTGCTCCCGAACTTCTAATCATAGAAAGTTTGCATTTATAATTGCAACAGAACTCTTCCAGCTTGAATGGGGGGATTCAGGTGGGTGCCACTAGCCATACCCTCAAAGTACTTGACAAGCAATCTTTTCGGACTCCCCTTGAACCAATTTCTGCCTTTTTGTGTGTGTGTTTGTGTGTGTGGTGCGTCTTTGAAACAATGTGGACTCCTGGCACCTGCCTGTTCAAAATCCCTGCAGTTTTCTTGGCAAGATTTTGGAAACAGTTTGTCATTGCTTATTAAGTTCTTAACCTTTTCTTCATGGGGGAGGGGACCCCTTTAAATACGTTTTAGGGCCACAGACACCCAAGGCTTAACTCAAGATTTAAAGCATAACTTCTAGCCTTCGAGGAACCCTTGGGGGGGTCCCTTCAAGGAGACCCTGTGATGACATTGTGGCCCCCCCAGGGGCCCCGCAGACTCCAGGTTGAGAACCAAGCCTTACTTCCTATGGCTAAGAGTGAATGACTGGCCCAAGAGTACTCACCTGTCTTTGTGCCTGTCTCCCAGTTCTAGCCCAATGCCTTTACAGCTCATCAAACTCTCTCTTTCTCTTTCTCTCTCTCTCTCTCTCTCTCTCTCACACACACCAAAAGATCTGCATTCTTTATAGGGTTACATTTACACTCCTGCCTTTTTTCTGTAGATCAAGACTACGTACATAGCACTCCTCCCTTCATTTTTCATACAACAGTCCTGTGAGATAGGCCGGGCTGGCCCAAAGTCACCCACTGCCCCCCCTCCCCGTTGCCTGAGGTGGAGCTGAACCAGAGTTTCCCCACTCATTGTTCAACACCTCTATCCTCACTTCCCCCCCCCCATCAACCCCTCACTGGTACTGCTTGGCAGGAGAGGATTTTGATAGGGGGTAAAAGCTGAGTACTAAAAGTGAATGGAACCTTACTCCTAGCCATGGCATGGCATGGCAGGGCTGGCTGGCTGGCTGGCTGGCCAGCCTGCTCTTCATTACAGTGAAGAGGTCACCAATCAAAAAATGCAACCCAACACCTCCAATTTCTTGAATTCTGCCCTCAGGCCTCCATTTAGCATTTAAGCAGGCTGGCTGGGAGGAGAGTCAAGCCAATCAAAGGCCCAATCAATCAACCAATCAGTCAGAGGCATTTGGATTTTGCTGTCTGTTTTAATTAAAATAAAATTAAAATTAACCTCACCAAAAGGCAGTGGGCTAAACATCCCTTTGTTTTCCCGCTAGTCCCATCGCCAGCAAAACCTTCCCATGCTTGCCACTCCAGGTAACAATAATGAGAGAAACTGAGCCCAAAATGTATTTCCTTATGTACTAGTTAGCCACTCTAAATTTCACACGGGAGGGCTACAAACATAAGGCTAAGTTAAATATCATTTGAAAAGAGCAGCACCAATGCTTAGGCAGAGAGGAGTAAGAAGACCGAGTGGGATGGAGAAGCTAAAATGTTTCCGTGCTCCGCTCCTCCACTGGCCTTCCTTTTTTTCATGACAGCACCGCACAGGCTTTGGCTGCAGTTAAAACATTTGCCCCAAACCTCTGAGCAAGAAGGTTTCCAGAAAGTCCCCAAACTCAGGAAGAGCCACTAAACTGGCCAAAGGAAAACTTGAACTGGAAATCAGCTCACCGTCTGTTCATCCCTAGGAAAGCAATGCACTTCTTATTCTGACCTCTTGTGGAAAGAGGCCTCCAGGTTTCTGGAAGAGGTTTGCCAGTTGTTCTCTTCCTACAGCGGAGATGGAGTGCCTGGCTGGCCCCAAATCATCCAGTTGGCTTCCTTATGCCTGAGACTTGGACTAGAACTCCCTTTCTCCTAACTCAGTGGTTCTCAACCTTTTTAATGCCGCGACCCCCAACCGGTCGTAAGTCGAGGACTACTCAACCGGTCGTAAGTCGAGGACTACTCAACTGGTGCAGCCCCGTTTGCAGAATGGGACTTTTGGCGGGCTCAGCAGGGCAGAGACAGCCTGGACAATTCCTATTGGCTTTTGAAAGCCAATAGAATTAGACTCTATTCAAGAGAGTCTATTCTATTGGCTTTTGAAAGCCAATAGAATTAGACTCTATTCAAGAGAGTCTATTCTATTGGCTTTCGAAAAGCCAATAGAATAAAAGGGAGTAGCACAGCTAAGGAAAAGGGGGAAAAAATGGCGGACTGCGTTGTTTGGCGACCCCCGTGAAATGGTCGTTCGACCCCAAATGGGGTCCCGACCCACAGGTTGAGAACCGCTGTCCTAACTTCTGGTCCAAGGCCTTTAACCACTACAATAGGTGACCTGGCCTTGTTCTCTTGGGAACCCATTCCTGAATCACAATTCATCTCCAAGTAGATGGCTTGGCTGGCTTGGAATAACCGAACTTGTCATTCTGACACCTCTGGAGGATACCCAGTTACAGAAACCCCTGCCGAAAGAGCTGTATTTGTTTACACAAGTAAACCCCATTGAGTTCAAGTGGGTGAAGCCAAGGTAAATTCATACAGGCGTTCAATTTCATTCAATTTTTTTTTTAAAAAGGCCAAGGGCATGACAATCATTAGGGCATTAGAATCATTATAGCAGTTCTACCTTCGCTATGCCAGACAAGTGGGAAAGTAGGAGATGCTTTAATGGCTGCGGCAACTGAGTGGAATCCTGCTTGCACTCATTGCCTGAATCACTTGGAGCACAAAGGGACGAGAGTCTGGCGGCCCAAAATATCTCCTGGTTCCAGCTGGCTAATTTTAGAGCTGGGACTCCATCCAAAGGAAGTTCCAAGGAAGTTCAGCTGCATACAAACTTCCAGACCTATGTGCCTTTCCCTTCAAAATTGTGACCTTATTTCTTATTTCTCCACTTGGCCCTTCCAGGCCTGTCTGTCTGGCCTGTTTGCAGCCACAAGGCAACTTTGGTTAAGCTTTCTGTTGGAAATCTATCAGCTTTAACAATAAAGGATGTTTCCTTACTTGATTAAAGGCTGTGCCCACAGTTTGCTATTCTTTCTCCTTAAATGGAAGCTCTCTTTTATGAAATGACCCAACACGGGTGCTTACATGGGCATGGGCAACTTGGATTCAGGGCTACAGGTCAATCCTATTAATAATGTCTCTTCAGAAGTAAGTCTTATAGCAGTGATATCAGTAAGGGACTCTCTGATAGAGTAGGAATGCAATTTAGATAAGCTGTTTTTTTCCTGCCGGAATGTATTTATTTTTTTTTTACTTATGCACACATGTACACACAGGTACCCACAAAGCTGGGTGTGTGCTTTGTTTCTATGTAGCAATATAGAGAAACCAAGAATTTAAACTGAGATCCAGATTCTAAGGAGCAAGATGTTGAAGCCCCCCCCCTTTCCCACCAAAGCTCAATTTGGGCCATTTTAAAGGTTTTTTCTCTTCTCCAGATTGGGAGAAAGACAGAATCAGATCCTTCCACGTTGGCCTGCAGGAACGGTGAGTGTATTCAGTGAAGGACCTGGGAGTTATTTATTTCTTTATGGCCTTCATATCAACTTTTTTTTTAAAAAAAAATTTTGACTGGTCCTGTGAAGCGAGTTGCAAAAGGGAAGGAATAAGAAATGAAAACAAAAGCTTGGAAACCAAGCAGCAGAATTCTTGATCAATCATTTGGAAGAAAAGTGCAAGGTTCAAAGCGGATTTTCAAGAAAGGACCCCTGTTTCCTTTTAAGGAGATTATTCCGGGCTTAAAGGTCTTATTATAAAAAAGTAAATAAATCTCTCGAGCATTCGGTTGATCTCTATACTCTTCCTCCCTTCCCCACCCCCTCTCAAATGCTGATTTCAAGATAGGCTCCGGTTACCACTTGTGTTTGTGGTATTAACAGCAGCACCAGGATTTTGCCCTGGTGCTTCTTCTGTTTATAACCAGAGCCTCTCATTTTTCGAGCCAGGGTATTCGAGGTCAATGCAGCTGCGATGGGTTTCCTTCGAGGAACACTTCCCTGGCTAGCGCGGGATCTCTCGTGTCCAGAGATCCAGCTCCGAGTGATCAGCCAAGCGAAGGCTTGGGGGGGGGGGAAGGTAAACAAAAGGCACAAACAAAGCCCTACTTCCTGATTTTAACACACACACACACACACACACAACCGGGCGTTTGCAGTGTAGATTTCCTTAATAATGAAATTTAACGACCTGGCTTGTTCTGCTAAGGGGGCGCATCCGCAGGCTCCTGTTCTTGAATCCCATAGGGAATCCTTGATTTTCGTGAGTTTCTTTCTTTCTTTCTTTCTTTCTTTCTTTCTTTCTTTCTTTCTTTCTTTCTTTCTTTCTTTCTTTCTTTCTCTCTCCCTCTCTCTCTCTCTCTCTCTCTCCCTTCCTTCCTTTCTCTTTCTTTCTTTTTCTTTCTTTCCCTGGCAAAAGCCTCGGAGATCCCAAAGGCTCGGCGAGGCGGCCGCCTTGCGCTTTTTTTTAACCTGGCGGCCAAGTCTTAGTGGAGCCAAAGGCGACTGGCTTCCAAAAAGGCAAAGGATGTATTAGGTACATTTGGTTGCCTGGCTCTATTTGGGGATGGGATTCGGCCTCAGTAGAGCGGAATGGTACTTCAGCTCGGCAGAGACGTGAATTTCTAGGCATCTTCCAGGTTCTTCTGTTCTCTCACCCAACGGTTGAGCATCTAAGCTCCTGGGAGCTGGAAAGCGCCGTGGACTCTTTGTAATGAGCCACGGTTTATCAGTAGAAAGGGCCGGAAATG